AATGGAATCTTTAAAAGAAAGGAGGCCAAAAGAGGGACAAAACAGAATGCAAAGGACAACGATTAAAATATATTTTTAAAATTATTTTAAATCATTCGATGGAATTGTTGAGTTGCCTAACAGCGAGCTGGCCCCATTGAGTTCTCCTGCATGGGGATTGGCCATGGGGAGTTGGCTGCGGCTAGTTGACCATGGTGAGTTGGCCCTAGCGAGTTGTCCACTCAGCCCCATTACAGTAGCCGGCCGTTTCCCTTCCCCTTCCTTGATTTGTAGGGGGGGGGGGGAAAGGATCAAGGAAAAGGCATTTCCTGGTGATTAATAGCCCATGGAGTGGAGCTGCGCCTGCCCACTGCAGTCCTACCCTTTCATGGACCTTTCGGAAACGCTCTGTGGCTGAGCTGTTTTTCCTGCACTCCAGTCTTGATGTATTGTCATCCTGAGAGGCATTTCTCCTTTTTCTTCCCTTTTCTGGTGGCTATTTCTGTGCCTCCCCCAAAAGAGCCCGTGAGCCAGCTCAATTGCTTTGTTCTCCTTCCTCCCGAGGGACGAGGCCTTTTCACAAGAAGTCCTCCTAACAAAGGTTGGAGAGGATACAAAAGAGGAGTGGGCCAGACTCACCTCCTGGCTAAGCAAGAATGGGGCGAGGTGCAGATAGGCTTCACCAACTACCTTCTGCTCCTTCTTCCTGTTGGTTCATCCAGCAAGTCAGCTGAGTCAGAAGTTCTTCTAGGGTTGAGGGGAGATTACCTGACCAAATCTGGTCAAAAAGGTGGCTTCTTTTTTGGGCAACTGAATAACAGAGAGTTGGAAGAGACTTCTTGTTTTTTAGCCCAACCTCTGCTCAAGCAGGAGCCCCTATACTGTTCCAAACAAGGGGCTGTCCAATTTTTTCTTAAAATCCAAGAACGATGGAGCAACCAAAACTTCTGAAGGCAATCTGTCCCATCGGTTGAATGTTCTCATTCTCGGGAAATTTCTCCTTAATTCTAAGTTGGTTTTCTCCTTGATTAATTTTCATCTCTTCTTGTCCTGCCCTCTGATGCTTTGAAGAATAGGTGCCCCCTCCCTCTTCTTTGTGGCAGCCCCTCAAATATTGGAAGATTGCTATCATGTCATTCCTGGTCCTTCTTTTCAGTAGACTAGACGTACCCAATGCCTGCAACTGTTCTTTGTATGTTTTAGCCTCCAGCCCCCTAATCATCTTTGTTGTTCTTCTCTGCACTTTTTCCAAAGTCTCAACATCTTTTTTAATAATGTGATGACCACCACTGGATGCAGGATGCAGTTTCTCTACCCTTGTCGTTGGCTTCCCCAAGCCATGTGCTGGATTGCATTAAATGCGGCAATTGCTCAGTCACTCCTCTTGAATTCTATTTTGCTACAGAGTCAAGATGAGCTAGTGTGGGCTTATAAGGGAGCCGCTGGAAGAAATAAACTTTAGAGTTCTTGACTTTTCAAGATCTGGCTGGTATTTTAGGAAGAAACGTGTGGTTCTTCAGAGCCACATAATTTATAGTTTAGTGAAGAACTCACCCATCCTTCCTGTTGCTGGAAGCTGGTGTCTCTCCAAACCGAACCAGGTTTCTTTCATCCCATTATTGTCCAATTAATTTTCAGGAACCAAGAATAGCATGAATTGGTTGCTGGACATTGCTCCAAGAAAGGGCTTAATTTTGAAACACAAATCCTGAGGCCCATTCAGGCGAGCTCTATTCAACGGAGTAATGAATATTGCAGGCCAAAAAGCAGGAGTGTGTTTGCAAGCAAAGACTGGCAAAACTGAACTGAACGGGCTCCAAAGTAGGCCGGTGTAGAGTTTAAATGAAAACCAGCTGCTCTGTCTTTTTTTAAAAAAAAAACATTTTTAAAGGGTTTTCAAAACATCACCTTGAGGTTGGGTTGAGTCCTAGAGCATCTGCTGGAGTGATTAGGGTGTCGTGGTTCCCAAACTTGTAATTTTGATGGCTTGAGCTTCAGCCACTGGTATGATTCAAGCTAATGGTGACTCTGAGGCATAATGTCGCTGTCGTTCATTTCTGGTAAATTATCCAGCATGTGAACGAAAGGATTGAACATTTGCAAGCTGAATGTTTTTGGGGTTTTTTTTTTTTTTTTTTGCTCTTCTCGAATTCGGTCCAACTGCTGCAGCCAGCAGCAATTTCCATTGGATTTGATGTGACTAGAAATTTGCTTCTGCTTGGCTCAAGCTAAGAGAGAGTTGGGCATTAAAAAAAGACTTATTTTCCATAGTATATTTAGTCAGTTGTTCAGTAATAGAGAGCTATTGGTTTGGTGGTGAAGGCATTAGACCAAAACCGGGGAAATACAGGTTCAAGTCCACCCTTAACCACATAAAGCTCCTTGGATGACCTTGGGAGATGCAGGTCCAAGTCCACCCTAAGTCCTACAGAAGCTCCTTGGATGACCTTGGGAGATATAGTCCAAGTCCACCCTAAGTCCTACAGAAACCCCTTGGATGACCTTGGGAAATGCAGGTCCAGGTCCACCTTCAGCCACATTGAACCTTCTTGGACATTGGATCGAACTCCTGGCTCAGCCTAAACTACTTCACAGGGTTGTATGGGGGAAAAAAAAAACAAACCTCAGGAAAGATTATATTCCCTTGAACTCCTGGAGGAATCTCTTGTAACCTCCCAGGATTAACGTCTTAGCTAGATGAAAGGAGAAACGAATAGCATGAATATGCAGTCATATCCAAATCTACTCGTTATATCCCTGTAAAAAAGAGTTTATAAGAGTAGAGAGCCTATTGTCACTCAGCTACAAATCTCAGCATCCTTCATTGCTAACCAGATTGACTGACGTTTTCTGAAAAGCTACTGATTTCCCGTTCCTCCCTCACTGAATTAAAACATTCATGGGATATTTCAGTTGACTTCAGGCTTCGGAATTGCTTTCTTGAGACCGAAGGCTAGCGAGCAGCCTGCTCTTGAGAGATGTTGAATTTACATTATTCAGATTCCTGATGTCTTACAAATTTCAGAAGGAGATTTGACCTCACAACAGCTCCTGGGCCAGAGGGGGGGAGAATCACTCTTCAGGCGAATAAGCATTTGGTAGTCAAAGTAATAAATCTTCTCTGATCCCAGGAATTTCTAAAAACAGTTCTTCGGGAACTGTTATTATTTCCACTTCTGGACTGAGTTAATCTGAACTCCGGGTGGTGAGAACGATAGGAGCTGACCTAGAAAAAACAATCTGCCTTAGCCACCATTCGGGATTCAGAATCTTTCTGTGCCCTAACTTTCAAGGTCTCACTTTCACAACCAGACAGCAATCTCACAATATCCGGTACAGTCATGATACCAGGTGCAAATAAGAATATTGTCAATAGAATAGAATAGAATAGAATAGAATAGAATAGAATAGAATAGAATAGAATAGAATAATGGGAATGGAATGGAATGGAGTGGAGTGAAGTGGTATAGAAAAGAGAAGAGAAGAAGAGAAGAGAATGATGGGGATGGAATAGAATAGAATAGAATAATGGGAATGGAATGGAATGGAATGGAGTGGAGTGGTAGAGAAGAGAAAAGAGAAGAGGAGAAGAGAAGAGAAGAGAATGATGGGGATGGAACAGAATAGAATAGAATAGAATAATGGGAATGGAATGGAGTGGAGTGGTACAGAAGAGAAAAGAGAAGAGAGAAGAGAAGAGAAGAGAAGAGAAGAGAAAAGAGAATGATGGGGATGGAATAGAATAGAATAGAATAGAATAGGGGAGGAGAGGAGAGGAGAAGAGAAGAGAAAAAAGGAGAGGAGAAGAGAGAAGAGAAGAGAAAAGAGAAGAGAAGAGAAAAAAGAGAATTCTTTATTGGCCAAGTGTGATTGGACACACAAGGAATTTGTCTCTGGTGCAGAAGCTCTCCGTGTACATACAAACAACATAGTGAAAGGTCATACATCATAGATCCTAGTTACAAACATTAATCATAAAGCACAAACAGCAAGTGATAAATCATAAGATATCAATAGGAGAAGAGAGAAGGAAAGATGAGAAATGAGAAAGATGACACGGATAATAGCAACGCAGCCTACTACATGGGTAAATATCTTTAGGCCCAAGACAGTGCTGTGGGAACGAGGTGTTCAGCAGGGTGATGGCACAGGGTGGGGAGGGAACTGTTTCTGTGAGTAGTCATAATACGAGAACCTGATGCCATACTTCGGGTACTCGAGATGAATTGAAATGCCTCGCTTAGGAATTTACAATCCTTTCTGAAGTCACATGCGGTGTTTTACAAGGCAATAAATATTTCAGATACGGAGTGTCTGTGTGTGTGTGTGTGTGTGTGTGTGTGTGTGTGTGCCGGTATCTATGTTTTGGAGATTGGCCCACCTGGTGAGAATCAGATCTCCTGCGCTTCTGATTCTCCTGATTTCCCCAGGATGAATTCTTTCAGAAGTTGGTAGCCTGTAAATGAAAATAAGTCTATTAAGGGTGCAGTAGGAATCCAGGTTTTCCCATCAATATCTTATGGAGGGTTTGGAGCTGTTCTTGAAAGGGGTGCATGGCAAAAAAAAAAAAAAAGTTTATTGTTCCTCACTGATTTAGTGCTCCCTGTGAGGGGCTTTGTGCTGTGAAGTAGCCACAGGTGTTATTTAACACAGGGGTCCCCAACCCTCCGTCTGTAGACCAGGACTGGGCCACGGCATGCCAGCAACCCGATACGCACAAACAAGCAAAGCCCCATCCGTGGGATGCAGGCAGCACACAAAACCACGCACTCTCCGGTCCGTGGAAAAACCTCTCTCCACGGAACTGGTCCCTGGTGTCCAGAAGGTTGGGGACCTCTGACTTAGCAGATGGAGTAATGATGGGCGTTTGCCTTAAGCAAGACTCTTATTCCTTGGCCTTTAACAGGAGAACCCCAACACCTTCTGCAAAGCGTGTCTGAAATGGCCACTGCCCCAGATAGAAGCAAAGGAACATAATGTTTCGGGGATACATGCCTGATCCTTTTGGTCTTCTCTTCTAGGGCACGGCTTCGGTCCTTCAGCGTAGGTCTGACAAAGAGGAATATGTAGAAGTTGGGCGCCTGGGGCCATCGGATTATTTTGGTAAGCTCCACGGAATGGAAGGGCTCAGAAACACCAGAAAAAGATCAGCTTGGGCATTTATGGAAGAATCGGATCTCTCAGTACGTGGCGCTCTTCACAGACAGGATTCACAAATGCACCATCGGTGATTACTGGAAGCGTAGACTAGCACGTATCACTGGTTGGGCAGATCTAAGGGCCTTCTGATCACCTCTTGGCGGGAGAGAGCTTTCATCCTTCTTCCCTAGTAATTGTGGAGGTTGGGGGGTTATGGATGTATCCTACAACCATGCCAGTTGGGAATTGTGGGAAATTTTTATCCACCCCATCTGCAGAACTCCATATTAGTGTTAAATATCAAGGGTAAAGCATGATCTAAAGCAGGGGTCCCCAACTTTGGCAAAGCTGGCTGAGGAATTCTGGGAGTTGAAGTCCACAAGTCTTAAAGTTGCCAAGGTTGAGGACCCCTGATCTACAAGGTGATGTTAGATAGGCATTCTTTGGTCTCCTGTGATGTCCTTTGGGTAGACCATGATCAGACAAAGTGGTAATAAGGAAGCAATGAAAAACCTCAGAGGAAAAAAGGAGGAGAAGACCTTAGCATGGATGACTGAGAAGAATCAGACTAGTGGATCAGAAAGGACAAAGGAGATAGGCGAATCCCTTCAAGACAAGCGATTCTTGCAGTCTCAAATCATTCCACTTGTTTCTTCCTTAGTATATATTTAAAGACGACGCTGGTGCCTGGGTTTCTTGTTCGGTGTGCCAAATAGGGCAGAATAATTGCAGACTTGGTTCCTGATCTGGAAATAGCTATAACCGAGATCAAAGGCATGTTCTCCAGATGTATGATGATGATGACGATGCTATCTTTTCTTCCCATTTCCAGGGGAAATCGCCCTGTTGCTGAACAGGCCCAGGGCAGCTACTGTGGTGGCGCGAGGGCCCTTGAAGTGTGTGAAGCTGGACCGGCCACGCTTCGAACGAGTCCTTGGCCCTTGTTCTGAAATCCTGAAGAGGAACATCCAGAGATACAACAGTTTCATCTCTCTCACTGTCTAAAAGTCCTCTTTGGCTCGTCTTTTACGTTAAAACTTGTGCACTTAAAAAAAAAAGAAAAAAAGAAAGGCAATCTGTGGTGTTTCGTAGCTTTACGAAGGAAAAGAGAGGCACCTTCATTTTATGCAGATGTTTTTCAGTGTTGATGTCCGGTCTCTTAGATATTCAAATCACTGTATGTTGTGAGGAGGAGAGCAGGTAGCTAGTTGTCAGTGACTTTATGGGATTTTAGATTTTTATTGTTTTGCACTTTGAGTAGCATTCCAGGTTTATGCGTCCTTGGTTCCTCCAAAACTCCTCAGGCACTGTAAAATCTCCAGATCTTTAACTCTGCGATAGAGAATCTGCTTGCTGTGTGCCTCAACTTTCATTTCTCCTGGTTGTGCTGACAAGCTACATCCAGCCTCACTTCACTAGAACGTAGGCTACTCATTTTGAACATCTCATCTAGCGAGACTACATAACCCATATTATAATTGGGGATCGATGGCCCCTATGCCTCCCCCCCCCATGAAGCATTGCAGAAATAGCCCATGAAGACTTCCAGACATTGCACCAAATAGTAATTTTAAATGTGATCTAAGGTAAAAATGATTAAACATCCAACTGGAAAGTGTAAAATGTCCTATCAACTCGGTTGAGTTTTTAACTCGAGATAAAACTCGAAATTTTCTTGGATTGTTTTTGTCTTGGCAGAAAGCTCCTAGCATGCTACTTACAGGCTATTTAAAGTCTATTAAAAGCAAGTGGTGAGCTTTGACCTGGAAGGAATTGTGAAGCCCTGTTGGGCATCCAGTAATCCGTCCTTCATCTTTGACAATGACTTGAATAAATTGTCTTGGCCACTTGAGATACTCAGCGAACACCAAATCAGTGTCAAATTAGTGCCAAACAGTGTTTTTCCAACTTGGCAACTTTTAAGATGTGTGGGCTTCAACTTCAGTCCACATATCTTAAAGTGGAGAAGTTGAAGAACATTGGTATACATCAGTCAGTCAACCAGCCAGTCAACCAATCCACACACATAATGTAAAATCTGTTTCCTGTAAAATGTGACAGTATTCTATTCTCTGTGTATTTTTTTAAAGAAAACTTTTGTTTGCAAATAGTATTTATTTACCCCTTTCATTTTGCTTATCCTGTTGTGATGCATGGGGGAAATAAAATAATTTTGACTGGAGAAAGAGGTAGTAAACCTTTGATCACTATGGTTGAGGGCCATTGGCCTCAGGGTCTTGAGTCTTAGGTCCAGGTCTACTTTTATGGACATTAAAAGACTTGTACAAAGATGAAAGAAGGGATACTATCAAAATTGATGGAAACTTGGATTAAGTTGCGAAAACAGTGGAGAATTGATTCAAACATCCCTTCCCAATCCTACGGCGTTAGAATTGTGGTTTTCAAAAATTTGCAGCAGTCACAGAAAGTTTAGAGGGTGCCAGATAATGGACAGCACCACAAAACGTCCAGGTTGATGTTAAAATCCTTAAATTGTCTGGGTATCCCTCAGTTCACAAGAAGAACAATTGTCCATGGAAAGCAATTGTTTAACTTTGTTCTGCATTGGGCCTATCCTTTCAAATTCTTTGTCCAGTTTTGGATACTGCCTGCCCCCCCAAAAAAAGAACCCCCCCAAAAGATTTAGAGAACCTAGAATAGGTGCAGAGAAAGGAAGTCTAGATGATCAGGGGACAAGAAACATACCAAGTTGACCTAGGAGAAGTTGAGAGAACTGGATGTGTTTTTCCTTCAGAAAAGATAATAGGAGATGGGTAGTAATATTTTTTAAGGACACAGGAGAAAGTCTACTCTTTTCCTCTGTCACCTTAGAGTCTGGAGCATGGAATCGGGGATAAAACTGAGAGGAAAACCACGTCCCAGTTGAATATTAGAAGACATTTCCTTCTAGTTGAAGAGTGGTACCAGTTAAGGAGAAAGTGATGGGTTGTTGTTTGCTGAATATGTTGAATGTTAATTGGTACAGTCCAGGGATTAAGCTTCGTGGGTCTCAAACGGCTCTTTCTGGACCTATTAGTTGTCTTTTGAACATTGGGATGCAGTCTTGATTGGATAGTGCAGTATTATTTCACTGGGCATGCCTAATCTTTGTGGGTTGCATCTGTTCTTTGGCCAAAATGACCTTGTAATTGTCATGATAATCCTTCTGATGGAGAAGAGGCCATTGGAAATGAAAACAGCATTTCTCTTGTAATTTTTAAGGTGACTGAATGGGGACATGAATAAAATCCTTGGAACTTCGGAAGTGCTCAGATTTATTCAAATCAAGAAATGGCCCTTAAGGGATTTAAGTAGGTGGGAAGACAGAAGCTTCATTCACTGAGAACAAAGATGAGTTTAGGAAAAATGTGGGTCCTCATTCTATGGAGTCAAATGCAAAGGCCCATAATAGGAATGAATTCCACATTGGTGGTTGGGACAAGACAGTTGAAAGGTACAATTTGACTTCTGCAGCCAAGCCCTATCTGTCTGTTTGCTTAGAAGGAACTCTGGCATAATGGTCTGGAACAGGGATGGGGAATCTTGGCTCTTTTATGACTTGTGGACTTCAGCTCCCAGAATTCCTGAGTTGAAGTCCACAAGTCATAAAAGACTCAAGGTTCCCCACCCCTGGTCTGGAGGAATAAAGCTCTAGGTGTATCTTCATTGGGTTATCTGAAGCACAAAGGTCACTGATGTATACTCATAGCCTCATTTGTTAGGAGAAACAAACATGAATGCCGTAGTAGTTCTACTAATGCAGTGATTCTCAACCTTTCTAATGCCGTGACCCCATAATACAGTTCCCCATGTTGTGGTGACCCCCAAGTGGGTGTGGCCACCAATTAGAGGGAGTAGGACAGCTAGGGAAAAGGGGAAAAAATGGCGGACAGCATGGTTTGGCGACCCCCGTGAAATGGTCATTCGACCCCAAATGGGGTCCCGACCCACAGGTTGAGAACCACTGTACTAATGGAATGCTTCTGAACTTCTCAAGAACATCTTTGCAGGTAGCAGAAGACTGTAGCAAATGGACCTTCTATCAGAAGTTCTTTTCTTAAGGGTGTTATTTCAGTTGACGTTCCCTCTCAACTAAAAAACAGTCTAATTTGCATAGTACTTTTCTCCAGTCAATCAATACAGTAATGGAAATTGAACTAGGACATAGTAAGCAGGTAAGGGAACTCACCTGATCACTCTGCAATGCTAACTTATTATTATGGTCGTACAGTCAACCACCTTGATCCACCTATTGAGTCCTTCCCAAGGACCTGGGCTAGGCAGATGTTGATGTCTGATGGCGTTAAAGGAATCGTCGCAGGATGTAAGCTGTTCTAAGTCAAGCTGCCTTTTGCAACTGACTGATGGGCATGTTGTCAATGTCAATAGTGTTCAAGTGTTTCAATAATAAATTATTATTATGGCTTATCACAGTCAGAAGCTTAGATGGCATTTGGCATTTTTGTCCACGTTTTGAGCCCTTCCCAAGGACCTGGGATTGGCAGATATCGTTCTTTGATGGTGTTAAAGGTGTCATCTGCAGGATGTAAGCTGTTACAAGCAAAGCTGCCTTTTGCAATTGACCGATGGCGAATTCTGTCAATGGCGATGGTTATTATTATCTTACAAAAATAGGTTGGTGGTTTCCCTCTGTTCTTATGGAGCCTGGGACTTTTCTAGGCGGTTGGGTTGGGGGAAAGCAACTGGAATTCTAGCTGAGTTTGGCAATGGATCCAAGTGGCTTCTTCTCAAGAGCCCTGAGGGGAATGTTCTCTTGGTTGTTCAGCTGAGGGAAAGACAATGTCTTTGTTTGAAGCACACTCAACCTTGTGTTTCCTTAAGATTGAAAGAGCTAGTTCCGGGAACGGAGCCATTACATTGGGTGAGGAAAGACCCTTTTGAGAAATGGGAGATGGAGAATTGTGAGGACGCCAATGTGCTATTCTCCAGGCACAAGGCATGCACCTGCCAGGCCGTGAAAATGTGGAATAATTACACCTTCCAACATCGGTGGCTCAGCCAGACAGCAGTGAAAATCGGGAAGAAAAGACCTATTTATATTCAAACGTTGACTCCTCAAGAGCAGGGCACTCCAAATTCGGCGACTTTTTAAGACTTCTGAACTTAGCCAGCCATGCTGCCTGGGAAATTTGGGGAGTTGATGTTCATAATTCTTAAAAGTTGTCAGCTTTGGGGATCCTGCTCAAGAGGAATGTTACTTCTCTGGAGCACGTCCTAACCTCAAAATGTTGGTAGCAACATCATCGATATAAATTGGGTCTACCTGCAGCCTGAAGAGAATGCTCAAAGTTTCACTTCTGCACATTCAACGATAGTTCATTAAAATCCAGGTAGGCCTGTCCTCTTTGGCAGATGGGTAATCAGAATCTGAGAAGTTTTTCCTCCGGGGCCCACTCAGAAATAAAAATAAATTTCAACCCTTCTAAAGGCTTTAGGTAAGGAATGGCATGATTAATCAAGAAGTCAGCTCATAAACCTGCGGCTTGCCAAGCAGATTATAATAAGATTAGCTGGATTTTCTGCATCAGAAACTCGGCGGTATTGATTTTTTTGGGCCATTAACAACAAATTCTGCTTCCCCCCTCCTCTTTGGATATCTATAACTGCCATAGGCTAAGGAAGAAAATAATCCAGAGTACTGGACAGGACCTATGGCAAAATTATTTGAAAAGTCAACTTGACTTATAATACTTCAACCCACATTTTTATATCAGCTCAGAGAAACAAGGATGATTTAAGGAGTGTAGTCATTTGTATCTGAAGTCAGCTTTTCAAGAGGTAGAGTAGAAGCAGGATACTTCACTCCACCTCCCTCTCTTCGTAAGGCTGGCAGAAATTTCTCGCCACATCTGAAGTTTGGAGGCCATTCTCCCCAGGAGATCCAGGATGGGACGTTCCCTGACATCAAGGAGAGACCCAACCTAGAATTAAAGAGAAATTTCCTGACAGTGAGAACAATGAATCAATGGACTAGCTTGCCTCTCGGAGTGGTGCTTACTGGCATCACTGGACGTTTTCAAGAAATATAGGAATGGTATAGGCCAGGGTCTCCTGCCTGAGCATAGAGTTGGACTACAAGACCTTCAAGGTCCCTTTCAGCTCTGTTGTATTCTGTATTCTGCCTGCTCCCCTTCTACCAGTGTTGGGATTCAGCCAGTTCGCACAAGTTCGGCAGAACTGGTAGCTAATTTTTTTTCTTGCCCAGGCCCAGAATGGACTTCCGGAAGCAGCATCCACACAGAGAACTGGTTCTTCATCTATTTGAATCCCACCATTGCCCTCAACCTGTTCTCAGAAGCTCCAGGGACCTCTGAGAGGGGAGATGTAGGCCCAGAGCAGGGGGTGGACAATTATGGGGACTTTTGATCTGTGGATTCCACTTCCCGCAATTCTTGAGCCAGCCGAGAGTTGAAGTCCATCGGTCGTAAAGTGGCCGTAGTTGCACAGAAGGAAGTCAAAATCTCCCGTGACACCATTTCAGGAACCATAGACTGTTGACCTTAAATGTCTTTAAATAAATACCAATCAAAAGATGGAATGATAAGCAAATTGTACTACAAACTTCCATCCAGTTATCCATTTACCTGAGAGGCACTCCCATTGAACAAGTCTCAGTAGCTCTGGGCCAACACAAATACCTTCTCTTGAGCACAATAAACTATTAAATCCTTGTCTGGAGTAAGGAGAAAGGAAAAAGGAAAAAGAAATCCTATGTGATAACATCTTTTTACCTCCTCAAAGCTTATTTAGTTTTTTTTCCCTAAATATTTTGGATTATGAAGAGTGAGGAACAACCCTCGACAACGTCTCTGAAGACCCTAGCCACATTATTTGGAAAGCTGCTGCTGGAGGCTTACAATGCACACTGCACTGTGGTATCTTTGCAAATTGTGCCTTAGTTGTACAGGTTAGACAACCCTGTTCCTGTTTAAGAAAGAATGCAGTGCTGCTTTTCTCAAAAGGGAAGGAAGGAAGGAAGGAAGGAAGGAAGGAAGGAAAGGAAGGAAGGAAGGAAGGAAGGGATATTGTGGGGATGGAGAAAGGGAAGGAAGGAAGGAAGGAAGGAAGGAAGGAAGGAAGGAAGGAAGGAAGGAAGGAAGGAAGGAAGGAAGGAAAAGAGGGAAGGAAGTAGGTAGGTTAGCTGTCCTTCCTGAAATCCACCAATTATTTTTATTATGTTTGACCTAATGATTTGGATGGAGTAGTTCAAGGTTGAACTGTGGGGGGTCCTTGGTGTTACCTAGTTGGGTAATGAAACATCTGCAAGAAAACAGCCATGTTCAGAGAGCACCAAAGACCCCACAGTCCTCCTCCTCCTCCTCCTCTCCACAAACCCCACTCCCTTCTAATACTGATGATGTTACCTAGTTGGGTCATGAAACATCTGCACAAAAACCACCAAGCTCAGAGAGCACCAGGGACCTGGCAGAGTTTATTCTGTTCAATGTATAGGCGTTTTTAGTTGGCTGAATGAGAAACCAGCTGCATTTGAAAATGCTTTCCTTCCTCGCTGGGCTTTAAAGGATTTCTTTGCTCAGCCACCAGTTCGCGGGGGGGGGGGGAGGGGGCTTCCCAAACGTTTTCTAATGGCCCCTGTTTTCTCCCAAGGCGGTTGCAATGCTACAGACGGCGTGGCACGGGCTCTGCAGTCCATCTGCCAGCTCTTGCCTGGTGTGAAGTGGCTTCATGCCCACAGTATGTAAATAATGTGCAAATAAGATATGCAAACGTGTCACTCCCCCTCCGGCTCAGGACGTGTGACTCTCCTCGGGCTGGGCTGAGTAAAGATGGAGGCTTGCCAGAGGCAGGAAGGCGATGGAACTCAATCTGCATCTTGAACAGGTGCACTGGAGAAGAAGCCAGCAAGTTGGAGGTTGGGGAGAGAGAGAGAGAGAGAGAGAGAGAGAGAGAGAGAGAGAGAGAGAGAGAGAGAAGGACCCCATTTACCAGAAAGGATTGGGTGCACCAAGTTCCATGAGGTCAAGACCTTTGGGTGTTCTGGATAAATGAAGAGGAATAGAACTTGCAACAATTAACCTGACTTGATAATCTTCCTTCCTTCCTTCCTTCCTTCCTTCCTTCCTTCCTTCCTTCCTTCCTTCCTTCCTTCCTTCCTTCCTTCCTTCCTTCCTTCCTTCCTCCCTCCCTCCCTCCCTCCCTTCCTTCCTTCCTTCCTGACATACAACTAGATTCCTCCCCCTCCCTCCCTCCCTCCCTTCCTTCCTTCTTGACTTCCAACTAGATTCCTTCCTCCCTCCCTTCCTTCCTCCCTCCCTTCCTTCCTTCCAACTAGATTCCTCCCTCCCTCCCTCCCTCCCTTCCTTCCTTCCTTCCTTCCTTCCTTCCTTCCTTCCTTCCTTCCTTCCTTCCTTCCTTCCTTCCTTCCTTCCTTCCTTCCTTCCTTCCCTCTGTTTGGGGATCGACTATGCATCTAAATCCCCTCAGCTTTTTATTCTCTTTCTTCCCACAACAGCTGGCACTGGTGTTCCCTGATCTTTTCCAACGGCTTTCTGTTGGCTCAGTCAGGGACCAAAATTTAACCTGCAGTTCCCCTGTTTTACCCTCTGCTAAACCTCCAATCCATTTTTTCCTTTATAGCCAAAGGGGAAAAAAGTATGTGGAATTGGCTGAAAGGGGAAAATTCCTGATTTAATGACATGTGGAAAGAAAAGGAGGAAGGAAATCTTTGTTTCTGAAAAGTAAAAGGGAGAGAAATAACAGGAAGGCACATCCTGTACTATGTTGAAGAGAAAGTTTTTTTTTCTGTTGTTTTTTTCTTTTTAAAAAAGATCCAGAATAGCAGAATCCATCTCAACCTCCCTTGTATTTTAGAATAGAACAGAACAGAACAGAATAGAATAATAGAATAGAGCTCAAAGCGAACTGCATGAGCAGGGGACCTTATATCATTTCAGACAAATGGATGTCCAATCAGTTCTTAAAAACCTCCAGTGTTGGAGCACCCACAACTTCTGGAGGCAAGCTGTTCCACCGGTTAATTGTTCTGACTGTCAGGAAATTTCTCCTTGGTTCTAGGTTGCTTCTCTCCTTGATTAGTTTCCATCCATTGTTTCTTGTCTTGCCTTCTGGTGCTTTGGAAAATAAGTTGACCCCCCCCTTCTTTGTGGCAGCCCCTCAGATACTGGAACACTGTTATCATGTCACCCCAAGTCCTTCTTTTCTCTAGACTGGCCGTTCCCAAACCCTGCAACCGTTCTTCATATGTTTTAGTCTCCAGGCCCTTAAACATCTTACTTGCTCTTGACTTCCGGTGGTTAAAGCGGTGGAGATGGCGGCTACTTTGTAGCCGTCCTCCTGAGAAGGTGTCAGATCCGCGGAGCACAGCGTTTACCAGCTGGCCCGCGGCTCGCAATCCCCTTCCCGGGCGAAGGGAAGGGGTAGAGATTGCATGAATAGAGGTAGAACCTCTTAACTCTCCCTGGATTTTTATTTTTAGGGGGGTAGAAAGAGGGTTCCCTCGGAGTTCATTGCCTTCTCCGCCTCTCAGCTGTCTTTGTTTCTTCGGAAACAAAGCGAGACGCCGCTACCATCTCCGTACTTAAAGAAACCGTGAGTAATCTTAAACCGGACAGAACTGTTTAAAGGATTTTATTTATAGTTTAGCTTTATTTTATCTTTTTTTAGTTTATTTAGTTTATTTAGTACGTGCTGATTTTTTTTTATTTTTTTTGAGCTTTCTCTTTTTTTTCGGGCGGAAAAGTGAGAGTGAAAGTAAAATGGCGTTTTGAAAGTTTTTTCCTTTAAAAGACGGATCGGTTGAACTGTTGTTTAATATTGCTTTTTTTTTACTTTTTTACTTTTTTATTCTTGGGGACTTTTAGATTGATCTTATTTTATTCTATTTTATCTTATTTTTAATTTTTTTTTTGGATTACTTATTTTTATCGGTATTTTTAAGAAGAAAGGAAGATAAATTAAAATGGCTTCAAAACGACAACCAGCTACTGCAGCTTCTAAAGTAACTTCTTCTCCTGCTACTTCTACTGTGCAACAACAACTTAAAATAATACCCTCAGTGCAGCAACCTAAATCTACTCCACCTTCACCTCCCCCATCTGGCACATCAGCACAAGACATTAAAGAAATAATGGTAAGTGCCGTCTCACAGTTTAGGGAGGAAATGAAACAACTTTTGGACCAGAATAAATCTGAAACTAAGGAGGAAATGAAGAAAGAGATGAAGGAGCTTTTAGAACAGAATAATGCTATTTTGAGGGATGATATACTTCTAGCTCTATCTGGAATGGCCTCAGTGGTTGTGAAGCTGGACTCCAGAGTAGAGGAAATTGAAGAAACAGTTGAACTTTTGGATTATAAATTTCAAGATATGGAGAAAAAAGTGGAGACTTCACAAGATGATATTCTTATGTTCCAGTATAGACAGATGGAATATGCTTTGAGAATAAGGGGTCTGAAAGAAGATAAAACTCAAGATTTGATGGAAATGGTGATTAATGACTTGGCTGTTATTTTGAATATTGATAAAGAAGAGTTACGTGGGGATGTGGAAAGAATTTATAGAGTTAATTCTTGGATTGCAAAACAGAGGAATTTGCCTAGAGATGTGGTGATATATTTTGCTAAGAAGTCTTTGCGAAATCAGATTCTACAAACTTTTTATAATAAAAGATTTCAGATTGCTGCCCAAGATATTATTATTTTAAAGGAAATTCCACCTAAAATTTTAAGAAGCAGAAAAGATTTTGCTTTTTTAGTAAATGAACTTAAAGCAAGACAAATGCCATTTAGATGGGAGATTCCGATGGGCATTGTTTTGAGCCATGCGGGGACACGTTATAGACTTAATACAGTTGTTAAAGCTAAGGAATTTTATAAAACGGTCCTGGGAGCAGGCTCTCCTTTGCCCATGATGCATAAAGTCTTGAGTGACAAAGAGATG